ATTCGTCTAGTTATTTGGGCGAAGCCCACTAGTGCGAGTAGAGTATGTTTGTTTGTTTGTTTGTTTGTTTGTACACGTACGTCACCCCTATTTATCCGTATGAAAAATTTTCCTATTTTAACTAGGCGAATGTAGAACATTGAAGGGGCGAGCACAAGCTAGCATGGCAATATACAATGTTTAGATGTCACAAAGGCTAATGTTGTTGTCAAATTGTAAATTGAATGATACACATGCAGAGCAGCTCAGAACTTGTGACTTGCATGCAAGGAAATTTTATAGCTTGCTCTTCTAGCTTTATTAGCAGTGAAGAATCTCAGTTGTAACTTTAATAAGTATAATTTAATTTTTACTATGATATTTTCAAGCACAGTACTTTTAGACTCTCTTTTCTCTGATGAGCCATTTGAAGTGATTTTATATTCTGTCATTCAACCATAATTAATAAAAACTTGAAGATTTATGTGTGTTTTCTTGAATTTTCTCTGCTGATGAAGTGTCTTGACAAGAGATCAGTCCTATGTTGCTGCAAGTAAGATTGGCTAAGGTAGGTGCCATTTTAATTTCATTGCAACCACACCCACATCAATGAAAATATTTCATTAGAATGCTACCGCATTAGATCATTGATTTTTGATTTTTAAATAGATATTGTGCACACATGGGTGTGACCAGAATAGGCGTGACTGGAGACGTACGTACATACATACATACATACGGAGGGAGGGAGGGAGACTTCGCCTGAGTGGGGCTCGCTTATGCTCGCCCCAATTATTATCAAAAATACCACACAAGGAGAGAGCAAGTTAAAATGAATATGTATACATGTAGTTTGAGGGAAAGTCAGAAAAAGATATATTACTAGGCGAATGTAGAACATTGAAGGGGCGAGCACAAGCTAGCATGGCAATATACAATGTTTAGATGTCACAAAGGCTAATGTTGTTGTCACAGTCAAATTGTAACTTGAATGATACACATGCAGAGCAGCTCAGAACTTGTGACTTGCATGCATGAAAGGAAATTTTATAGCTTGCTCTTCTAGCTTTATTAGCAGTGAAGAATCTCAGTTGTAACTTTAATAAGCATAATTTAATTTTTACTATGATATTTTCAAGCACAGTACTTTAAGACTTTCTTTTCTCTGATGAGCCATTTGAAGTGCTTTATTCTGTCATTCAACCATAATTAATAAAAACTTGAAGATTTGTGAGTTTTCTTAAATTTTCTCTGCTGGTGAAA